CCATGAGCTTTTTGAAGTACCCTTTTATATCCTCTTAGCTTTTACCTGTAGTTCATACTTTCAAAGTGCATATTGATTAGATATTGCTCAGTGTAATTCTGACATGTGCCTAAATCTGAGCATCACTTGGTGTATTTTTCCCCCCCACTTGGTGTATTCTTATACTTTAGTAGAAAACTAGCATTGTGTGAGCTGTTAATACATGCCTCATTCAACTATTTCAGGAGGAAGATAGAACTAATAGATATTCTTAATAGAGCTAGTTTGAATTAATCTGCCTTTAATGTTTGTGAAAAAAAGCCAAGACATTGCATGAAAGGTAATACATGATGTACAAAGGTCCTTTGCCCCTGCTGTTAAGTGATTATATTGTATATTGGCTGTTTGACCACTGACCTGTTCTGTTAACAGTTTTTTTTTCATCATTTATTGTATAGTCAATTTTTTAATTTCTGTAATATCAGACACTTTTCTATCTTTTAAATTATTGTTACTTAAAGTTAATAAATTAAAATTATATGGTCCTTACACTTGTGCAACACTAAAATAAATAAACTTTAAAGGCCTCGCATTGTCAGATACGGGCAGAAGTTGGAATCAGATTTTAAGATTCTGTGTCCCATTAGCTGAGTAGTGTGAGAATTAACTTCTGCCAACTCCACTTCTATTTCCTAATCTGTTTAAAGGGAAACAGGTTTTAGTGTAAAGTACTTCAGAGTCTCAATTCAATACTGCACAAGTGTCAAATGATTAAAATAAAAACTGTTCTTACGTCAGTTCCTCAATGGGGAAAATTTTAATTCAGGAAGAAAAAAGTGTATTTCATAAAGGCTTATGAGTTCATTTGCTTTTCACCAGTTCTGGGGAAGTGACTTTACTTCTGCCTGTTCTGGCCCAAGGTGTCTAGAGACAGGTGCAACTGAAAGGTGGTGCCCCAAAACATCAACTGCCTCCCTGCATGTTGGGGCTGTGAAGCCAGGACTGAATTTAACTTTCTGACAACCGTGGGTGAGCCGCATCTGGGCCTGTTTACCTCTGCAGGTGGGAAGATCCCAGTTGGGGTCTTGCTTTGCCCTCCCACATGCAGCTGACCTGTGTGGACTTCTCCATGGGTTTGGATTGGTCCTTCTGTCTATAAATGCTCTTTCAGATTCAAAATCCCACTCACCTTTATAAAGCCACTTAGAATTCATGACACCTGTCCATTCCCAAATAAGATTATTCCTTCTGTGTCA